CTCGCCTCGCCTCGCCTCGCCTTGCTTGGCCTCGCCTCGCCTCGTCTCGCCTCGCCTGGCCTGGCCTCGCGGAGTGCTCTCTCGCGCGCGCGGCGCTTCCACTCGGACCTCCCTCTCTATCCGCTTCTCTCTTCCTCTCGTCTCCGATGCCGCGGCCGTGCCAGGTCGAGAGAGAATGCGGATTCGACCGCCGCTGCGAAGCGTCAGCCCGAATCCACGGCGACGACGGCCGCTCGAGGAGCTCCGCGTTCTCGGGAACGTTCTCCCGCGAGTGTCCACGGGATCGTTTTCGCCGTCTCGCCGACTGTCGTCGCGATCGCGCGTGAAAGTGCGTTCCGCTGGTCCCGGCGAACCACGTCGGCCACGACGGAACCCACGGTTCTTTTCTGGCCGCCCGCTAGTCCTATGAATTTTCAGTAAGTCCTTCTTTCTCCGTCTCTCTTAGCGCTCACCACCGGCACCTACGTGTCGGACTATACCTAGGGATCTAAGAAAACGCTCTTTCCTCGATAGAACAAGAGTTTATTCATTTTGAATTAATTTGGACAAGTCCGCGAGAAATATTCAAGCGAGTCGTCGCGCTCCTCGATTTTTCCCCGATCGATTGCATAATTTTCAAGTGGTTTTTTTCCTCTCCGACGCATCAGTGTCTCGCGGACATCAAACTCGGGAGGGTCGTGATATTGCTTGCAATTTGTCTAATCCGCCCGTTAACCACGGCTGATAAACGATTGTCGTCGCGAAAACCGAACGAGACGTTTGGCAGGATCGTTCCTTTCCAAGATCTCCGGGCAAGGATGTACACAGCCGTCCTTCTTTTTTTTCTCACAATCAATTCGTTATCGCTACTTGTAGACCGGATGTACATCCGCTAATATCCAAGTTGCGACCGTAAAGTTCCACGCAGCGGTTAGCTGATTGCGAGCTGTGAAGTCAGCCGAACGTCAGTTAGTTAATTAGCCAGTTGGGCGGTTTCTTTTTGCAAAGGTCTCGTAGTAATCGCGACTATTAGCCTCGCATCCGAATGACAAATTTTATTAACCGCCCATCGCTGATCCGAAGGCCTGCGTCCACGACGCCGGAACTACCGAGTTCTAGTTTCGAGAGATGTGCAGCTAATCAACCTGCAGCCCTCAGGACGCAGGCCTTTACGCGACGGGTGGGATTCGGGGCTAAAAATGACCGATTCAACGGGGCGATCGGCTGCAGCTGACGTCGACGGTTGTCGAAATTTCATACAAATACCCGGCACCCGCGCCTGTCTCGGCTCGCCTCGTGTCTTTCCAGACGCGACGGGATGGAACATTCGGCGCCGTAATCGCCGCCGAGAGCGTGGCGCTCTCGACCCTGATTATCCGCGATACGCGAGCCGCCGCTCCGCGTCTCCGCGTATCGGGACAACGAGAGCGCGTCGACCGTAATCGGCCGTGGGCCACGGCGAATTTCACGAGATTCCGACAATCGGACTTGTACATACGTGCAGTTACCATAGACTTGATCCAACGGCATACGCGATACTATTTTTTTCCTACCGGATTGCTTTACGGGAGCCAATCAGGATTCAGCCTTAAGTCGTCTGATTTAAAACTCTGTATTCTTATTGGCTCTCGCGAGCGATCCAGTAGGAAAAATAGTATCGTGTGCCGTTGGCCTCAAGTCTATGGCAGTTAGGCGTCTTACGCGATACTCGCGCGGGCGCGCAGCGAGAAGGAAAGACGTGCGTTATCGTCCCGTGTAATTGAAACTCGTTAGCCAGATCGCGCTATGCACGAATCCGAAACTCCGGGGAACCAGATAACGGGGAGGAAGAAACCGTATCCGGCCTTATCGCGCTCGTTTCCGAACGGAATTAAAGGCCTGTATTAGAACGCCGGGATTCACGAGTTCGCATCAAAGGAGCTTTATGCGCGACGTTCTAGCGCTGGCTAGTCTCGATGCGACAGATAACGCCCGGTGGCTCGACGGCTCGCTGGCCGCGGGGGAGGAGCCGAGTCTCCGACCGCCGCCCGCCGCCCCGCCGTATTCATAAGCCTCGCACATTTTAAATACGCGCAATCTCGCACTCGAAATCTATCTTACAGATACACATCTTGAACGTACGTATAATCGTGCATTTGCGATTTATAGAGCGATCTTACAGACGTTTCTTTGTCCTCCGCTCTTAAGCTTTGTGTCCACGATGCTGGAAATCGGTCCGAGATCTCGACCCGAGAAACGCGTAGCCGATCAATTTGCAGCTTGTGCCATAAAAACTGCAGGTTGATTGGCTACGCGTTTCTCGGACTTCTATGCATCGTGGACACGAGGCCTTGCACTTTGAATCTCCAAACGGCTTTCGAACGCGTTAACCTTTCTCACTCTTCGTCTCTATTTTTCCCTTTCTTTCTAAAATGCACAGTGCAAGCGCCGAAACTTGCTGCGAATTCACAAAATCTCGGACAACGTTGCTCTACGAGTTGTACACGTCATTTCTCTCTCGAGGCTGCGTCTATCGCCGACAGGTTTCCCGATTTAATAGAATCTCTGAATGATATTGCTCGTTGCGAATTACACGCTAGGACCTAGTTTGCTTCAAGCCGGATGGTTTATCGGCCCAAGTTCCCGCGGATTTACAAAATTTCGCGATAATATTGCTAAACGCGAATTATTATGGTTCACGGTCGAAGGCGTTTCGTAAATATTCCGAAATTCTTCCGTCTTATCGGTGTGTTTAATCAAAACTTGTTAGTGCGACGGTTCGTTGGCTGTACGTATCTAGACCGCAAAGGAAACCGATATCGGAGGAAGAACTTATCCGTTCTTATCGCGGACGTTTCCGACTGGCGTTAAAAACTGTTTATGCCGCGCGACGGTGCCAACTGCGCCGCGGCGTGCTATGGTGCGCGTGCATTCACGTAATGTCGCGCTTTTTCGCTCCGTTCGCTCAATTTAAAATTAGAAAAAGCTTGCTCCGCGAATATACATCGATTTGCGTACAATAACTCCGCAAGTCCGCCAAATTATTTTCATGTCCGGCTGCTCTGGGGGAAAAAAAAGACAGCAATCCATTTTGGGGCCCACAATTAGTAATCGAATTATTTGGATTGTTCTAATCTTTTATGAATTTTACCCCGCGTAATTATAACACTGAAAAAAACCCTTTTTTAACTAAGTAAATAGGTTTACTTAAAATTACTTATTTTACTCAAGTAAATTAATTTAAATCATTATATTTTCTACATTCAACTAAAGATTTCATGAGATGGAGAATACTATTTATTAAATAAAATCATTGTTTTTGTCAAATAAGAAATCCAATTTTCTGCGCTGTAAAAGTTGTATCTTAGAAAATATTTTACAGAATTAAAGTAAAATTAAAAAATTTTTAAATTATCTACTGTTCGATATTTAATAAATACTTAAATTAAAGAAATGTATGTTTTCTTTTGTTTATTGTTTTTTAAATTTAAGTTAATAAGCTGCTAGGAGCCACCTAATAAATAATTTTCTTGAGTAAAGTAATATGTTTTTGGATTAAGATATTTTTTATCAGTGTAAAAATCGCAATTAGCTATTCTATGTCCAAGATTTTTAAGTAACACTAATCAATTCTCTCAATTAGTTCTGTCGACATTCAGGAACGCAAAGGTAATTTTCACTCAAGAGGCACTAACTAGGCCGAAACTACAAAGAAAAACGGTCAAAATTTTTCCCAGAGTAGAGTTACGGGCAATCGAAATGATTCGATTACTAATTGTGGTTGCAATCCCAAGATGGGTTGCTGGCTGTCTTTGTTTTTCCCAGAGTATGGAGGTATTTAAAACAATTGAAAGATTATTCGAATTTAGCGGATATGCGGGACTCGAGAAGCGACATAATCCTCGCTCCTTTCTCGCGCGACGTAGTATAATGTTCATTAGAAACTCGACAAACGCGCGGCACGCGGATGTTGGTGCGCATAATCATCGCGCTCTCGTCAATTGATTTATCGGAAATTGTCTACAAACTTGTTTCGCGTCGCGTACGCGATCCAGGATTCGGTATTCGTCTAATCGCCATCAGGAAAATCCGCGAAGAATATCGGTACGTCTGCGACGAGGGGTAAACCGCTGGGGGCACTGTGGTGTGCAGACTTGCGGCATTACTGGGCATTGGGCCTTGCTCGGATATTATGAAGATAAAATAAGATAACGTGATGCCCACTGCCATTAGTAGGCATTGGTGTACATGATTTTGGTTCACCCCTCGGTCTGCGACGAGAACTAACACAGGTGAAATCTCTGCGAATCAGAAGAAAGACTTGCCGATCGGATTGAGCACGAAGCCCGCGTTGGAAGTTGGTAGAAAATTTGCAAGTGGCCGTGGCGTAAAGCACCGTCACGTGGGAGTAGTAAATTGACGCGAGTTAAACCGTAATTCTGTAAGAAACTGGGAGAATTGATCGGGTTACGCAATCTGATTAAGTTAGGCGAGTCGCGTGTTACCTGCAATTGTGATTTCTCCTCGCAATCGATCGTGTTTTTCTCAAGTTCGCGTCCTCCCGCCGCATTTATATTCAAGCCGTCAACCACGCCGGCATAATCGGCCCCGCGGCGCGAATCTATCGGAGCGCGTTTTCGCGCGGTCACGCGTGGAACGCTAGATTCAGCGAAATATCGTAACGGCCAGCGAAATTATAATCCGGGAGCGGGAGGGGAATGTGCCGAAGCGCGCACCGGCCGGGGGCCGCTCTCTCGCGTTCGCGCTCGCGAAACGCTCGTCTTATCTACGCGGCGCGGCGCGGACGGCTGGCGCGGAGCGGTTAAAAGCTTTGACCTATGGCAGTCGGTCGACGATAGCCGGCCCGTGCATTCCACTCTGAGCGCACCCTTTCTGAATGGCCCGCCTGTTTCTCGCCGCGATCGCTCGTCGCTCGTCGCTCGACGCCGCTCCGCTCCGCCGCGCCGCGACGACGAGCGTGAACCGCCGCCACCGCCGTCGTGGCTGGCCGGGCGGCGCTCGTCTAGCGCTCGAGTCGCTCGTCCCGCGAGTGGCGCGAGTCCAAGTTTCAGATGAAATGCCTTAATAAAGCGTCCACGATCGCACTTTGTAATGCAAACAACGTGCCTCGCCGCAAAGGAGTAGGCGCTCGCGAAGAGGCGGTCGTGCGCTTGTTCCTCCCGAGCATTCGAGATTCACACCTCGGCGCGGTAACATAAGTGGAACGTTAACTCCGATTCGAGAGATAACGGAACGGGCGTCTCGAGATTTTCGAGCGGAATCGATGCGATCGCCGCGAATCGAAGCGCACTGCTACCGGGGGGGGATACGACAAAGTGGAGCGACTGATAAAACGAAGCCGGAGGAAACTCGCGGAGCGTCCACGATTAATGATCTCGATATACGCGCGATTCTCGGAACGCGTGTAATAATCGGGGCTCGAGCTCGCGCCGGGAATCTGTTCGTGTCACGAGTTGCTCGCGAAATCTAATTCTGCGTCATATTCCTCGACCGCCGCGGCTCGCAGGTGAATGAGCGAACGACGAAGGTGTGTGTGCGCGCGCGCGTGCGTAATCCGTGTTCAACAACACGATTTCGAATGCAGGTTCGCGCGTAACTCGGGAGTGGCTCTCGCAGAGGAGTACGTTCGAGGAGAACGTTCAAGAGTTTGCTCTCGGAAAGTAACGCTCGGCTCTCTCTGTCTCTGGTTTCTCCACCGCTCTCGACCCTCGATCTCCTCGTATCTCAGCTCTCCATTCCGATCTTGGTTTTCTTCATTTTCTCCTTTTTTTTACAACTCTTTGTTCTCTCACCTCGCGCAGTGGATGCATATTTAACAGACGTGTAACAGAGTCACAGACTGGATTGGGATTGGCGATTGACGATCGTCAATGAGCGCAAAACAGCCAGCGATTTAATCGACTCTCATTGACTAGAAGACAATCGCCAGCCCCAATCGAATCCGAGTCGACAATTCTCTAGTCCGATTCGGCGGCCTGTGGGCTCAACGCCGTTCGGACGACTCGCTTCCCGCTTCCCACTTGCCGAGAGTGTAAAAATGTAAAATTCCAAGCGCGTGGTTTCAGTCGAGGTAAAAGCGCGCCGTCCAGGACGCGATCGGTCGCGCACGAACGAGACTCTCCCGGTTCTTCCACAGCGTGGACGCCGCGAGTGGGTTGGCGACCACCGAATCGAGAACTCCGCGGCCCACTCGCACCGCGCTCGCCCACGTAGAAACGGAGCCTCTCTTCGTGATCGCGTAGGTGCCGAGATCCGACTGAGCCTCGCCGTACTCCGCCCGCCGTCGTCACCGGCGTCGCGCGGCCATTCCGATTTCTTCAGCTTTCGAAAGCTCAAGTCCCATCGTCAGGATTCTCTCGCTTGTGAATCTCGTTTTTAACATTGTTTGACCCCCGATCAGAGAGAGAGAGAGAGAGAGAATGAAAAGAGGAAATATCTATTGAAATATCTAGCGGTGTTAGTAATAAGATAAGTAGATACCTGATCTGCACGAGTATATAACACGACACGTTGGTTGCGATGTTTTCAGGTGGGGATGAAGCGCGTGTCGCGAGGGCGAGAGGAAGCGGACGCGGAGCATTACCGAGCCCCATCCTCGCTAATGGAACGCCCTCGTCGAGAGTGTCACCACCTCGCGCGGGCTGGGCAGTGCAGATTACCGAGGCGACACTTACCTCAACGTCAAATCAGCGTCCATCGGTTCCAGATACATCGACGACGTCCGTCGAACGATGGGCTAGCGAGCGGACGGCACCAGTTTGGACGGGTCGTGTCGCAGCGTCGTTGTCAGCATCAGCAGCAGCAGCAGCAGCAACGACAACAAACACACGAGGAGGATTTTTCTCCGCAGCAGATCGAGGACCAGCTAGCACGGCTGGTATCCGTCTCGAGCATCGTCGGGTCGAGGAGAGGCAGGAGCTGGAGGCGACGAAGAAGGTGGAGCATTGGCAGCGGCAACATTGTCAGGATCAGCAGCAGCGGCGTCAGCTCGGGACGCCAACGCCGCCAAGTCCAGGAGCAGCAGGACGTTTTGAATTGAGCGATCGGCCGATGTCGCGGAACGATGCGATATCGCCGCTCACGCGGCTGCCCTCCTCGCGTCTTGATTTCGCCGCCGCCGCCGCCGCCGACGACGACGACGACGACGACGACTGCGTCAACGGCGTCGGCGAAGACGCGGACTCGCGTCTCGTCTCGACCGAGTCGCGCGTGCACGATCACAGCCGGCCGTTGCCGCCGCCGCGGTTGCCGCTCGTGTCGCACGTGATGTCGATGCCGTCCGTGCCGCCGCCGCCGCCGCCGCCGTCGTCGTCGTCATCATCCTCGGCGTCGCATTCGGTACCCGGGTCCCCGACGCCCCGCGTGGCGCCACTCACCATGCCTCTGACGCCGTTGTCGAGTTCCTTTCGGAGCAGGCCGTCCCTGCGTCGCTCGCAAAACGTAGACACGTCGCCGAGCGACGCGAATTCCAGGAGTCTGCTGTCGCCGTCGTCCGCGGACACGACGATAACGACGATATCGACGATCGCGACGTCGCCCAGGAGCCCGATCGGCGAGGTGAGCCTCGCTACGCCGCGACCGGACGGCGAGAGGACCATCAACGAGTACGTCGAGGCACCGTTCAGCAATTCGCGCTGCAATCAGGAACGACGCCTCGATGCGAGGAACGACGGCAAGACGGCCGGCGACTGCCCCAAGACCGAGAGAAGGCATCACCACCACCACCACCATCACCACCATCATCACCACAGAGGACAGCGCGAGGACAGCGCGGTGGTGCCGACGCATCGGGCACGCGGCCGCGCCAAGAATCAGAGTGCACGGGGTTTCGGTGGCGCGACAACCGGCGCTTCGGCCGTCGCCACGTCGGCGAACGCGGCGACGGCCAACGCCGTGACCAAGCAGCCGGTCTCCTTCACCAAGGAGCCGGCCAACGCGCTTGGCACGAGGACCTACGATCCGGCTGGTCTGTCGATCATATGCGACTTTTGCGGTAGGTGCCGGTGCGAGTCGTGCCGGGAGCCGCCCCCGCTGCCCAGCAAATGGCTCTGCGACAATACGTGCCTGTGCTCGGCGGAGACCGTTCTAGATTACGCATCGTGCCTGTGTTGCGTCAAGGGTCTCTTCTACCACTGCGTGGACGGCGGCGGTGGCGGTGGCGTCGCCAGCGGCATGGACGGCGAGGTGGCCGCGACGAGTTGCGCGGACGAGCCGTGTTCCTGCACCGGTAACCGCACGGCGTCCAGGTGGGCCTGCCTGGGCGCCCTCGCGCTGCTGATGCCCTGCCTGCTGTGCTACTGGCCCCTCCGGGGCTGCGTGACCCTCTGCGAGGCGTGTTACGCGCGTCACGCTGCGCAGGGCTGCCGGTGCAACACGAACGCGGCCGGTAGCAGGCATCACCCCATCACCAGCGATATCGGAGACTCGAGGGACCCAGAGAAGAGGCTGTTGGATCCAGTCACGCCGGAGCTTTGAGGAGCGCAGACCTATCTCTACGTGGGGACGCCCGAGTGGCCGGAAGAGGATGAGCAAATCCAGGAATATAGGACCCCCCCATCCTGATGGACATGTCGGATGTGTGTGAGGGAGGGGTCAGAGGGAGCAAAAGTGAATTGCATCAAGTACAAGAGCTGCATTTAAGTCGAGGAGAACGATATCGGATTTTGACGAACCTGTACGTTTGACACGTTGCGAATGTCTTTATTTATTATTCTTCCATGAAAAGTGCGTGCGTATGTATGAGTGGGCCTGTGTGCGTTGACGCTTTGCGTTTCTGTATGCGCGCGCGCGCGACCGAGACAGGGAGAGAGAATGAGAGCGAGCGAGAGAAAGAAGGCAGTGTACGAAAGGAGCGAGCATGTGCCCGTACGTATGTTTGTGCGTGTTTTTGCGAGTGCGAACGGTAGAGAGGAATAAAGTACGCGAGTAGCGTATCGTCCAGACATACCACTTACGCATAGATAACTCTATATATAATGAATTATACGCATTGTACTACGCGCCGAGCGAAATCGAACGAACGGTAATATATCGGGGCCTGGGGCAGGGGGGAGGGGGGATTACATACACCCACGGAGTAAAGAAAAAAAAGCTAAAGTATATATTATATATATATAAATATATATAGATAGAAATGTATATTGTATATTATGTTTGTATAAAGAACAAACTTTTCTACGGTTAATTTATTTGCGGCTGTAACGCTAAGTATGGTTCATGATCGAGCGAGAGACGATAGGTAGAATGAGGGAGTGGGAAGAGGGGAGAGAGAAACGTAAGCAAATTGTACCAATGACGTATACGCATGGACCAATGTGGCCGCTGAGCCGAAGCCCCGCTAGCATGACGAAAGTTTTCTGATGGTCAAAGGGGTTTGGAAGGATGTAGATTGGATGGGAAAGGAGAGAGGGAAAGGGAGCGAGAGAGGCAGAGTCTTAAACCTTAACTTTTGTGTCACACGACATGATTTAAATAACGGCGTTAAAAATGCGTTGCGAGGGAGTCGGCGAAATCAAATTGTGTCAATGAACAAGAAAGAGGGGAGGGGGATATAAAGCGAGACGGAAAATAGCGGAGGCCCGCGTATATCGTCGCATTTCCCCACTTTGTTAATGTTCTCTCCAGTATTATCTAGTCCTGCGAGCATCCTTTTCTCAATTAGCGTTTGTTCACATTTAAGAACGGGCCATGCGGCGTCAGCGTACACAGCGCGAGAATGGAGTCGCGAGAAAGAGGAAGCCCCCCCTCCTCCCATTCCCAAACCTCACCCGTCCCCGGTGATTTCGTTAGCTATAAATAGGGACTGAGATCGGTAACATCTCGCAGACAAACTCGCACTCGCTTTTCTCGCCGATCGCAGCAAATAACGTATTTCTCCCCGTCTTTTTTCTCTCTTTTATCTTCCCCCCTCTCTCTCTCTCTCTCTCTCTCTCTCTCTCTCTCTCTCTCTCTCTCTCTCTCTCTCTCTCTCGATACCGGAAACGACTGGCACGTGATTTAACACTAGAACCACTATTCGATTTTACGGTTTATTATGTCATTAACACATGTACGAGTATGAAAATTTTGACGAAAACTTGCTACGTGTACACGTATATTAGTAATCAGGGGAGAATCAAGAATTGTGACCTCCCAGAGACATGTAATATAGTTCTAATGTTAAACGCTGATACGCGCCAGCGATTATTCTTCATTAGAGATCACCCGCGTTAATTTGTCGGAAGGAAATCATACACGCCGAGTGGTTTTTCCTTTGATATTCCTCGGCGCGAGTATCTTGGCGCGGATTGGAAGCTGATCGATCGGAGTGGGGTCGCGGCTCGGTTTTAGCATTTCAACGCGAGGCGTGGGCAGATGATTGTATGTGTGTGTGTGAGAGCGAATGCTCGGGTGTAACTGGGTCGATTGCATGGGCAAAATAATCGCATATGGACGAAGACGAACTAAGAAGCGATATCGTTGCGGACAGGTATGCGGGAAGAGGTGTCGCGATGTTGGCGCAATCTGTTATTACCCGTGTTCGGAGAAATTGTTCGGTGCGATTGGAAGAAGCTGGCATTTTTCTCTTTTCCTCTTTCTCTTTTCTCTCTCTCTCTCTCTCTCTCTATCTTTCTCGATGGCTCGCTCACCCTTCTTGCGAAGGGCGGGCATTGAGACAACGGGGATAAGAAAAGCGTAACAGCACGAAAAGAGCGTTATGGCCTCAGCGCGAAAACGTCTAGACGGTGCGAAAAAAGCGTAACGAGGTTTCTAATGTAAGATGAGTGCGATAGTATGAGACGGGGGAGAACACCGAACCTGGGTAATGTGAGGCGACGCGAGGCGAGTTCTGGCCTCGGTCCTTTCGCGATTCGCGAGCGTTCCAAGTGAGAAAAATGGACAAATAATTTTGCAGTCAGGCCACAGAACGACATCTGGTCTTGGAACGGATTTTTGGAATCTCTCAAATCGCCGGTCACCTCTGTGGTTCAATTAGTGCGTCGTCTCTTTCCGGTTCCAGTTCGACTTTACTTTCGGATAAAACCAGAACCGCCGCGAGATTCACGTGCATCGTACGACAATGTGTTTCATTTTGTCTCGCATGCTTTTTCCTTTGACGTCGATCGCGGGCTCGGCGAGATCTATCTCGCTCGACTCGAATTGAAATCGCGAAACTGGACGTGGACGTTCGCCGAGGACAATGCGATTGCACACACCGATCGACCAGCGAAGGCGCGAAAGGACACGAAGGCGTGAATGGAACGCGCGAGTGCGTGTGTGTATATGTACGTGTGCCTGTACGTGTGGTGCGTGTACGTGTATGCGTGCGCGCGCGTTTGTATGCGCGCACGCGGGTGTGTCTCGCCAAGCGAAAGAAAAGAAGTTTTTATTAATAATAAGTCTATACGATCTGTATATGTCTTGTAAATATATATATACACACATGTGTATATATATATGTATATATATGTATATACATATATATATATCATGCATAGATATGCGTATACTTGTGCATCTATATATTCGGCACGTTGCAGAGAAATCTGCGAAGACGTGTTTAACCATTCTGCCATTTCGATTCCTTTTCATTAAACTCTTCGTTCTCACTTGAAGCACTTGGAGATGTAATTGCATTTTTTAATGTAATTCCGATTACGTACCGCCAGGTCTCACGGAATAATATAATTCGGTTAACGAACAGGCAAGGTGTAACAGTTTTGTGTGAATTCTCAAGACTCTAGATACATTCTGTATATCAGCGCTATTCTTATTTAACTGGAACTTCCTTTCCGTACGTGGTAATCTGAAAAAACGCCACCCGTTCTAGCTTCCGAGCGAGTTGAACAATGACGTTTTACTGCAAGACTACGTAGCTTTTACGGGATCGACGGCTTGGATGCGAGGAGTCGCGCTGGGACAGAAGAAAAATCTCTACCGTTGGACATTGGTCTCGTTTCTCTCTTCGTTGTACCCTTCCGCACGCCTTGTCGTTGCCATCGTCGGGATGCCGAGAGTCCGCTTCTGCTCTGTTTGCTTTGCAGCGGATCGACAAGGCGATCATTACCGAGAGGTCCCATATCGTCATTAGCGGGCAATTGAATACACCGTGGCGAGCGCCGAGGGAAGCGAACGGATGTAAGCCCGTTAGCCTGGCGCGTCGCAGCGCCCGCAGCGGGCGCGATGCAGTTGAATGCAGCTCTGCCGTAACGTTCGTCGCCGCACCGAGTGTTAACGGCAGAATTATCACGCGTATTGTGCTCAAAATTTCATTGACGAGTTTTACATTTATCTATGACAATTTTTTCACTTTTCACAAGTTCTCGCGGGAGAAAAAGATTCGTGAGCGTATCGCGAAGCGTACGTAATCATTTTTTAAGACTTTAGTTAGAGATTTACCCCGGCATGGACGAGATGACCGACTGATTTTTTCGTTTTAGCCGAATCTTAATTTCCGACATTAAGTTTGCTAAAGCGAACGCGAAATTAACTCGTTACGCTCTCGGTTTTTTGTTTTCACCGTTGATCATTATCAGCGTCGTTTCTTATAGAAATCGAAATAGCGATGCAACGAAAATTACATCTTTATTCTGTCCAAAAAAGAAAGAGTAGAGGAAAGTCCTCTGTCATGAGATCGTAGGTTTTCAACGTCCAAATCTTTCCAACAGTAAATTTTCCACTAAAGAGATTTCACTCCAAAGGCAATAAATTCATGGCGCAACCAATAGACGATGCCTATTAAGTTAGCGGAAACTCCGTTATCTCATAATAGGGGACTTAATTGTCTAACGATATTCCACATTCGCGGGTGCATCCCGCATTCGAGATTATCAAGCGGAGATCCCGGCGAGCGACAAATTCGTTAACGTAAGTCGGAAAACAGCGAGCCGTCCGTCCGGCGTCTGTTTCTCTCGTTCGTGACCGATTTGTGACGCCGCGCGTTAATCGAGACGAGGAAGAAAGAGACAGGTAGTAGATAGAGAGTAAGGGAGGAAGAGGTCCGGACGCGCACGGCGAGCCGAAAATAAGAAGAGAGCAAAGTGGCCGGCTGGTCCAGTGGTGTCATGTGACCGGAAGTGGCATTCCTTCCTCGCCTCCTGCCGTCCACCACCGCCGTCTTCCACGAAGCCTCCCGAGAGCCCAGTACCAGGCCTCCCTCTTTCGTCTCCTCTCGCCCCACACCTCGTCCTCCTTCTCCACCTCCTCTCTCGGTCCCTCGTCCGCCTCGTCGTGTTGTTACTTATCCCTTCCTCCACGCTCCAACGAACGCAGCGACAACGGAAGATTGCCCTCTCTTAGCGACTCGTTAAGCATGTCAAAAGACATCGGGGCATCACGTCGACGAGGGACGTCGACAATGGATTTCCGCGTTCGAAGCGCGACGTCGAGATACTGTGAAAATCATACGGGCGCGCGCGAGAGAGAGAGAGAGAGAGAGAGAGAGGGGCCCCTTCCCTCTCCCTCTCCTTTCAACACGACCCAATTGAGGTCGGATTTTTATCCGACCTCGTGGGAGTTGTCAATAAATCTGTTCGTTCCAGTCCCTTTCGCCCTATGTTGCACGCTGTATATTTTGTGCGTATGCAAAGAGACATCTATTATACACTCGGACATGTTATGCATTCGAAATGAAATAATTATTCTTCCGGTTGATAACTCTATGTTGAGAAAAAGCGGGGAAGGAAATATTGCAAAGAGCTGTAGGAAACTCGAGTCGAAAGAACGATTTGAATTCCGGCCGTGTTGTTCCCTGCGATCTGAAAACGACAAAATGAACGCTACATATATATTTTCATCCTTCAGCTGCTAAATTGCAGGATGGCATCGATCTGGTTTCAAGGTATCGAAATAGGAACCCGCGAGGTGACATAACGAGCGTGGTTTTCAATTCTTTCGTTCCCCTCTAGGCGAAGTCAAGTAGTCAAATGACATCGATGTTGAAATACCGAAATAATATCCGCGAATCGATATAAGATTTCGCTTCGCCTTTCGCTTTCGAATCGCCTGCGAACGAAGAGGCTCGAGCCGTTCTTGCCTCGCGTCGCGTCTCTGCGAAAGAATCGCGGAGTAGCGTGACGTCTCTGCGAATTGCCGCGATAAGATGCCGCTTCCCTACGGCGGTCGTTCCCGTTTCGCGATATCGGGGAGGGAGAACGGAAGGGAATCTCTCTCTCTTTCTCTCCCCCTGTCTGGGGGAACCTCATTACGACGTCCCACCTTGTTTCTACTATTCAAAGGTCGCTACGTGCCACCGCGAGCACACACCACTGTCACGGACAAAGACCTTCGACGAGTCCGGCTCTCCGCCGGCGCTCGCCGATGTCATCCGCGGTGACGCGCGGCGGTGGCGGCGGTAGCGCGTCGAGCCAGTGGACACGAGCCCAATTTTAGGGGTCCCGCGCTTCGCGTTTGCCTAACCGAAGGGAGGAAGAAGAAGAAGAAGAAGAACAAGGCTGCGAGGAAAGGAGACGTTTTTCTCGGACGAACGCAGTAGGGAGCGGGAGAGCGAGAAAGAAAAAGAAAGAATGAGAGAGAGAGAAGAAACTCGCGCACGGTCGACGTCAGCGTGATGTTTTCGCGACGGAGCCGGCCGCCGGCCGCGAGTATTCTATATTAAACTCCGGGCGCGGACGCAGGCAGACCTATTGCGAAACGGACGCCCTGATATTTTCGTTGCATCGCGCGAGTAACTGCTTCCGGCCGAGTGTTCTCTGTCTCTCGAGCGGAGCTCTCCGCTCTCCCTCTCTCCCCTTGTCTCTCCTCTCTTCTCTTCGCTCCCTCTGTAGCTCTCTTCCTATGCTCTTCCATTCTCGCTACCACCTCGTCGTCACTCCGTCTCTCTCTCTCTCTCTTTCCCCCCTTCGTCCTCCTCGTCTCTCTCTCCATCTCGCCGCGACCGTCCTCTTCTGGATCGACGGGCGCAGACGGCCGTGCTTCTTCAGCCGGCCGGAAACACCTACGCACCCGCTGGTAGCGTGTGAGAGCGCTATAAGGTGGGACGGAGGCAATGGGATAAGCCTACTCACGAGAGATTGCTGTCGTCGACGACCTCCTTGCTTCTTGCTCTTGTTGCGTTTCTTCCTCCTCCTCCTCCTCCCCCTCCCTCTCCCCTCGTCCTCCTCTTCCTCGCGCCGCCGCTCGCCTCGCCTTCTCTCCTTCCTCTCTTTCCGCCCCCTCGCCGCCGACCCGTACGATGGAATTCACCCAAGTTTTTTGCGCCCGCGAATAAACACCACCGTACGGTGGAAGACGGCCCAGCCCGAAAGCCACGATCGGTCAACTCCCTCGGTTTCTCCTTTCCTTGCTCCTTTTCCCTTTGATATTTATTTTCTACTTGGTCGGCGGGGAAAAGAAGCGGACTGCGATGGTGTTTATGGCGGAACACGGGCCGAAGCCCCTTGCGCGCGAAATCTAATCAAAGTCTTGCACGAGACCGAGTCGCGCTCTCTTTGACATTCGTTATTCAGGCCGATATCTTTCTAGTCCAGGATCAATCGATCGATCGATTCGTGTAAATGCTTTGTCTTACAAAGTTCTTAATGGAAAAATATTGTATCGAGACTTCCCGAGGTCAAGCCACACGGAGGAGACAATGAGCAGATCTTGACTGGACATTACCTAACGATGAGATATTTTTTATTTTCTTTCAGTCTGAAATTCCGATATAATGTAAAGACTTGGAAGAAATAAGCATGACACATTTTAACGCATCTCATTAAAGTGGACGATAAAAGTCACCACTAGGTATATAATAAATGTAACAAGAGAATTTTCTACTGCCAGAAAGAAAATCTGTTTACTTATTAGTTTCAGTCTGAGATTCCGATGTAATGTAGACTTGGAAGAAATAAGCATGACACATTTTAGTGCATCCTATGAAATTAGATAAAAGCAGCCTCACTACATAATAAATGTTAACCGCTGTTTCAGTATTGCGCTATAAAACAGTTTTACTGTTCGTTTATACTTGTTAAAATTTACTTTTAAATAGCAGCATAAACTAGAGTTCTAATTTCATAACGTCGTTCTGCTGTCTCTATTCAGTTTTTATTTGAATGTGATTTTTCGTGCTCAAGGTCACTTGAAGGTCGAGTCAGAATTTATTGTACTCTTCTCATTACTGGCTAGAACGCTACACGAGTAAGAATGTAGTGCGAGTTAATCGTTAAACCTCGATAATTGCTTAGTTTTTCTTGAGATTTTCTTAATTTATATTAAAAAAGTGAAAGAAAAAGATACAAAGCCAGCATAATTAAAATCAATTGCGATGGAATCTTAATATTGATTTCAGATAAAGACACGATACAACTTTTTTATTGTTTTCAATCTTCAAAATTGTATATATATGTATAGTACATTTCCCGAAATGTCCAAGCAAGAATTGATTTCTGGCATACAATAAATTTCTCATTACTTTTTCACATTTATCAAGAAAAGAATGTCGTACATCGAAACCTTAGCACAAGCTTTAAGAGATGGAACACTCTGCTGTATGTTCGTCAGATTGAACTATTTCTTTTTCACTTGTAATTTCACTTTGTGCCGTTACATCTTCATTCAGTTCAGTTCCTTCTTTTTCAGGTACTATTAGTTTGTGGTATCGACTTCCAGTTAATGGCAGGTGAGGTGCTATTGCACTTGGTTCCAAAAAGAGTGCCGGGGAAACCTTATAGAAAAATAATACATTTTAGTTTCCTGTACTTCATCGTCAATACATTTACCAGAAGTGCAGATTTTAATTAATGTTAATTCCAAATTACTTAAACAGTAGGAACAATGGTATATAATACACTTATATAACTACTTTTAATATATTTGAGAAATAAATTTTATGGTACTTCTAATATTTTTGTTTGAAATTCGATAAGGAGTATAGTGTTACTTACGCGAATATCTTGAACTTTGGCTTCTCGTGACGTAAACTCACGTAACAAGTAATTTTTCCCAAATTCATGGTAAATACGGGTATCATTTATTCTTAGCATTACGCTATCGATTCTAAGAAAATATCGCAAGAGTATAAAAAAACTGCCAGGCATGACTCTCTATACACAAAAAAAAAGAAAAATCAAGAGGCTTGAAGTACAAGTTCGTGGTACGTTATTAGAGGAAGGTCCTCTATTATGAAATAGCAGGTTTTCAACGCCCAAATTCAATCGCAAATCTTTTTTGCGACGATTACACAATCTAACAATAAATTTTCCACTAAACAGATTTTGCTTCAAGGGCAATAAATTCATGGTGGAATCAACTGATAATGACTATTAATTTAACAGAAACCCCGCTATTCAATATTAAGATCCTGTTTCATAATAGATTTTCCTCTACAAGTATAGTATGATAACTTACAATTTTGACTGAACTCACAGCAATGCCATTGTCGTGAAGTTCATCTTCAAACAATGTTAAATCATGATAAAACATAATCTTATCTCTCTGTTTCAATTTGTCCATGTCAATTCTCTCATTTGTTTCTTCGATTTTAAAGCCAGATATCGTACCAGTATAATTGGTAGTGAATGTCCAATCGAAAGGCTTGATCTTTTCTTCTAGATATTCACTACTTTCTGATCTGTCAATAGACACATGAATAGAAAAAGTTCTTGTAGCAATAAGTTGGCGTAAACTTGTCAAGTTTGAAAAAGGTACTTTGCAGGTACCTCGATTCTTTCCATGCTTCTGCACAAGCGAGCTGCACATTAATCTTCCCATTGGAAACGTATCTTAGAGCGTCCAGGGCATTAAATTGCAGTGCTGCTCCATTCTGATGTATCAGGGATAACATGTTATTGGGAAACACCATATCTGGCATATGTGGCAATTCTAACGCCATGCTGTACCTATAAGAGCAAGAATTTCATTTCTTGAAATATTATATATTTTCAAGACAACAATTAACAGAAAACATACAGGCAAAATTGACAGGCGTTTGCAGTGTCAGTGCCACAGCCATTCTCGCTCTTAGAACACTTAGAATGGAGTATGTGAGACTGGGTATATTTGATGCGCCATGGAGGACAAACATGTTCCTCCTCGTTTACCGGTAGCCTTAAAATATCGATACCACCATGCACTTTTATAGCTGTCATGGCCTAAAACTAAAAAGGCTCCAATGTAAAGAGAATCTGGGTTAATATAATATAGGATAGATGATACCTGCAAAAATTAAAACAACGCAATTAGGTATCTAATGCCTATAATTATATTAATATATCCTTATTGTATGTTTCCGTAGTTGTAAGGTAAACACTAAATGTATACATTAGACAAATCAATACCAAATTAATTACCATTAGAACAAGCATTTACCGTCTATCTGAAATATCAAAAGATAGGATTCAACTTTTGCGATAAGTTAACTTAAATTTCTAAGAAACATATGTGTTCTGCTCTTTATGTTGGTTTATTTTTACTATATTTACATTATATCAGCCGAGAGCTTGGCAGTTCGCATATACCCTCTTCGTGCATGAGATAACCTCAATTCATATCATGAACTGAATAATAAACACATAGCAATGCTCACATTATATCTTGGAGTGACCAACAATCTACAGAGACGAATGCGCCTCCTGCGGAAGTAGACATCAACTACGTCCGTTTGGCTTTGTGTCCACTCTGTAGGTGCGTTCGAGGAGCGCGCTTTCAGCGCTAAAAGCGTCTTCTATCTTTGTTCGACATACAGTGAGTAACGAAGATAGACTGACGTTTTCAACGCTAATAGCGTCCCCCCGAACGCAGACTGTGTCCACGATGAGAAGCCATTCAACTTGTATCTTTGATGGCAAAAAAGAACACACGCATACATATTTATTGGTTTTTATTTTTTATATAAATTTTGATTATAATAAAAAATTTAGATCCCGCTTCACCGAAATTGGGATCTGCTACAGCTCTCTGCAAGAAGAAAGTCGCTGCTTCAAATCGCAAAAATCGAGAATCGAGAAAACTGGCAAAGTATGAGGAGAACATGATCAGCAAA